AAGTAAGAGACTAATTATAAACGAAGAACTATTCAATAGCTTTTTAACATATGAAAAGAACAGATGATAATTATTTAACTAGAGTACAGTTAATTAAAGAGAACGACTTATGAGTAAACGTTAGCACAAACTTAGGAGTGTTGTTCGATTCTTCAAGTGTTTTAGTGCTAATCGCTCACCCAAAACTGCTGAACACAGTACTTCTCTGGATTAAGATTACCAAACATGTAGTTGAGTTCATTGTTCTGTAAAAGCAACAAGAGATAAGTTAGAAGGTTTGCTTGAAACATCAAGGACTGTCTGGGTTTCGATTCACAGTCTGTGCATTGACTGAAGGACATAGTTCAGGGTGAAAGTTGTTAGGTAAGTGTGCTTACTAAAAAAAAAGCTGTTTATATTTGCCTATTGATTATCGACAAGTGTCCTTTCTTACAGTAAAATGAACTGATAAAATCTGAAGTAACTAATGAATCATGTATTTAACAAAAAAGTTAAAGATACTTGTAAATAACGTAAACAATTCGAATTCATAGATTTGTTAACGTAAACAAAGGCTCGCACTTACAGATAACGTGATAAAATGTCTAAACAAATCCCTAGAAAAATATCTCACATTGGATTTGATTTGCAATTGTATGTGCTTCAAAACAACTGAAGTCATTCGTGTACTGGGATTTGTTGCACGGAGCAAACTATTGAAATTATCGGTCACAAAGCTCACGATAAGAAAAACAAAATGAATACTGACTATAAAAATAAAGAAAATGCTACTGATCTCTGTCTACATGGTGATGAATTTGAGAGTAAAATCGACTCTTTCAGTTGTCTTTGAAAAATGTTTTTCAAAGCCGGACTGAAAGAAATATAAGGTAACCTAAATCAACTACTAAAGGCTTTAAATGTGTTTGGAAGGGAACGCTGGCAACATTTTCAAAGGTCTTGTACAGTCCACTCTTTATCTGCCAGGCTAACAGAACGACCTTTTTTTTCTACCTAACTTGAGAATTTCGCTGACAAGAATCGGCCTAAAATAGACCCGATTTCAAAAAACCTATTGCAGTTCAACAGATTCTTGGAAACTTGCCGTCAGACTGTAGTGGGCATTGAAAACATTGTAAATTTAAAGATTCGCTTTATCTTGGAGGGTGAGAGGCTGCTTCAGGGAGTAAATTACAGTAAACCATAAGTTAGAGTCTAATTTGGTTATTAGGGCCAATATTGAACATATAATGTCTATCTAGGGATGATTTGGAGCCATAAGGGCCAAAAGGAAACCCAGATTAGAAGCTGTTTTATAGCTAGGGCTGTTCCAATTGTGCTCAAATGGCCCCATGAGTAACTTCAATCTACACGACTGACCTGGCTTTTAGGCCGGAAAAACAGAACGTATCATTAATTAAAAGTGTGAGTAAGTACATGTTAACCCAAAAGTGCTTTTCTCACTTTTATTTTTCATACTCATTAATGTTAAGTAGTTACTTACTACTTACAAGTCTAAAACGAAAAAATAAGATAAAATTCTAAAGTACAAGGTGGTACTCTAGTATCGACTAATTATTAACACTGATTTTTAAGTATAATTAGTGTTAATAATTAGTCGATACTAGAGTACCGCCTTGTACTTTAGAATTTTAAGCTTTTATCGTTTTAGACTTGTAAGTAGTAAGTAGCTATATGATTTTAGCTGGTGTATATCGTATTTATTTTTTAATTCATTAGTTATCTTATTTAATTATTTAGACACGACCCCACAAGCGAAGCGTCGCTTTAAATACTTATCGTGTATAAATAAAGATTATTGATTGATTGATTGCATGTTTATATCCGACTTTCAGCATGGCGGAAGACGATCAAGAAAGCCATTTTGATGATCCTGAGGAACAGGAACCCATGAAAGTATCTGTGACGTTTAAACCTCCAGAACCAGAGAATGATGACGCCAAGCTCGTAGAAACCTCTGAAAACCAGACTCCTGATACTACATCAACCCCAGAGGACCCCGGACAGGCTGATGACGCACGTGACTCTGACACGGAGGACATTCACCTACCCATAAACCCACCCGTTACACCCATTCTTTCTTGTGTGATCCCTGAAAAAGTTAACAATGAATGCCTAAATACGGAACAACCCGACGTTCTTGAGGTAATTGTTGAATTCATTTGGTGTTCAATAGCCCGGGGAATACTCCCAAAACATTTGGGTGAGGGCTACTGTGTAAGAAGAATTGTGAAACATTAGTGAATGTACGCAACAGGACAGGAGAGGAAAGAAGACGGCAAACCTTGTGTGACAAGCGTGACAATAATTTTGTTTGAAATAACTTTTGGCAAAAATTCACTTTCCTGTTAACAGATCTTTTTGTAGAAGACCAGAAAAAATCGATGTTAGTGAAGATCTAGCCTGCGAGCAAGCTCTCAATTTGTGGAGTATAAGTGAAAAGTTGACCTGCAAGGGGCTAGTGAAGATCACGAAAAAACACGGAACACGTTCGTCTCGCGCAAGCGTTTTGCCGTCCTCTTCTTCTTGCCGTCCTGTTGCTTAAACTCACTACTATATCAGACCAGACCGTTGCTGCGCGCACACTCTGAGTTATGCTCTCCCGCTAGTCTGAAATTTAAGAGGGCCTTCAATTTCTTTTCAAGAGATGAATAAAAGTAAATGATTTCGTCTTGTAAACGCTATCCTTTATTCCAAACCAAACTGTATCCTATTTCAGACCACAGGAAACATTTAAGATTCCAGAAGGCAAAAGGGTTAAAAATTACATGGCAATGCAATGAAAGCATGTAATAAGGTTTATGAACGTGAACTTTTCGTTGACTCATTCATATGACAGAGCCAAGTGAATTCTTTTCATGATTTGTTGCACTCAAAAATCTGTTGAGATTGCTCATTTCTTGCTTTTCTCTTCCAGGGCTGGAAAGGCTATAGCAACAACATTTACATTCAGCCAATCGTAGTGAATCACGCCACCAGTGACACGTGTCCTTATCCAGCCAATCAGAAGACAAAGCGAAGACTTACTAGTCAAGACCTGAGAAATCAAATGCGTCTTCGAGAGGCTAACACCTGGATTACTAAACACAACGAAAGACTTTGGAGCACAGGGTGTTTACGATCAAAGGCTCATTTTAGCATCAAGCACGATCTACAGGATGTAAACGAACTTTCAAAACAGGCAAGATGTAACGACAAGGAAATGATAAAACAGAGAATTCCTGGGGGAACCCTTCACAAAGGATTTGTCTGCCGAACATGGGCTGCAAATTTCCTAGAAAATAGTGCCACTGAAGTCGAGGACGACGAGTTTATTCCATTTTTTGTTCGGAAATATGTGGACAACTCAAAATCTGTAAGTGCCGTGGTAAAGAACGTCATCACTAGAAAATCTACGGAAAAGAAGGAAAATTTACAACTTGCGTCTTTAAAACGCGACAATAAAGAGCTCACTGAATCAAATTCCAACGAAAGCGCGCGCACGTTAGAAATCACATTGGAAGAGAAGACATTTGATGACGAAAATAACAACATCAAAATAGAAGATTGTACAAAAGCATCGCCAGGCGATTTTAAGAGCCTTCAAAATAATTCTGGTCGGTTTGTTTGTGGTTGCGGTGGGACCCTGGCTCATGAAATGGAAATTAAAAGACGTGCTAAAAGTACGTTGCCTACAAGAAAGTATCTTGTTCAAGCAAGATCAAACAGTTTTAGAGAGACCCACTGTGTTGCCTTACCAATCAAACAGTTCCCACCCATAAACCCGCTAGAGGACATGAGGAAACCAAACTCTCAAGCGAGGATAAAGCGGGGAATTTTACCAGCTCGGAGACCACACACCGTAGACACTGCAATGGTCTTAAAAGAAGCGATCGTTGTGAATGGCCATTGCAATTTGCCGAATTACTACAAGAAAAGTGATTTGCCAAGCAGAGAAGTTTATCACGAAAGAGACTCCGTATCACCCTCAGAACAATATAGCAAAGACAGAAAGTTGCATCCAGGGGTGAAGTTTGATAAAAACTGGCTCGGAAGTAAACACTTTGACGAAGGCCTCAAAATGCTGTGTCCAAGGTCGGAGGAAGGAAGGAGGGTCAACAAAACACTCGTTAAAAGAGCGACATCTCAGTGTGCTGTACATGACAGCAACAAGCACATTCAAGAAAGGCGTGGTCGCTGTCGTTCCTTGAGCGTTCCTCCCGGAAATAACAAGCAGTCGAGAATGTCGGTTAAAGAAAATCAAAACGTCATGTATGGAAACAGGCTCCCATTAAAAACTCCACCCCATTCACCTAACGGTGAAGATAACGATTCAGGCACTGACTCAAATGATACTGGCCTGGGAAGTGAAATTGAATATGCATTTGATGGTTCAGCGAAACTTGATATCTACCTTCAACCCAGGGGTACAAGTTTTCGTTAAGATTGGGTGTGACGTTGTGTAACTAAACAATCTTAGTACCCAGCATGACATTTTAAAAGCCTTAATGGTTTTCAAATCCCGCAATCGTCTTGCTTCGATCTGAGTATTTACTTTCCAAATTTACTTGTCGATCTGATACAACGCCGTACACTATTCAGTTTCAAGTGACCTCGAAGAGACCAACGGAAACAAGCTTAAAAAACTATAGCTATATGTGACAATTACATGTAGGACTCCAAAACGAGTCAGTAGGGTTAGAACTTGACAACTAGCGCTACATAATTTTAACCAATGACTTCAGTCGATACTTCTGCAACAAATTTAGACGAACGATGAAGCAAGCGTTTATACTTCGGAAAAGACGAATAGACCTCTTTCATAAGTTAATCTTTCATATCTATATAAATGAGCCCTTCTGGTCTCGTTTGAAAGTAAGAATTCTTTTGTATTTTACACATGCTAATGAAGTCAGAAAGCGGGTTAAATATCATACGTAAAAAAGAATATATTAATAGGCCGAGAGGTCTATAACAGCGAGTGTCACTCTTTGTTAGCTTCGCTGTCCCAAATTGGGCATTCATTCAAACTGTAATTCGCTGTAGACAAAGTCTCTATCAACGACGAAATCTTCAGCAGCAAGATTTCTTCTAGCATAGCTGAGCTCACAGTGACGTGACGGCGAGTGAAAATTGAACGAGTAGCACGAACTGTGTGATATGCAGAAGAGGGCGCACTCGAAGTCATCGTAAGCACTTCGTGACGCCAGAGTGTGACTCTTGAGTGAGCGATGAGTAACCACCGGGTGGACAAACGCATTGGAAGTCCTGCCAACTAAAAAAATGAAGAAAATGAAGAAAATGAAAATAAAAAACTAAATGAGTATTACATAATTAAATAACTAAATACAAATAAGATTGAATCGCACACATGTCAAAAGTGTTTCAACTAATGTGATCTATACTTAATACTAACGCCTTTTATACAAAGTAGGTAGGCGGTAAACCTTCTGTTTTCCGATCGATTATAAAAGTTTTATGACCCTTTCTTCTGCTCGATAGTATGACGTCACATTATGGCGATCCAAAAACCTCACTCTCGCGATCAAGAGGAACATTCCCTCCTGCGTACATAGGCTGTTGCTTACCTGAGCACAGAGCTAGTGCAATCCTTAATCCGTTATCTGTTGGCAACATTTGTCTGAAAGACGAGTAATGAAAGACGTGATTGGGCTCAGACGCCAAGGCGTTTATTTCGGCTGAGTTCACATTGGAACCTAATCCCAATGCAAATATGACAATCCCTTTTTTCTTTAGCAGCTGAGATTCTTCCTTTGACGCTGCGTGTCCATCTGTGTGTGATAAAAAATCATATGGTAAGCACATCTCAAGACTAAATCAGGAATGGAGCACCCTGTTTATTGAATATTTGACAATAAGGATTTTGGTATGGACTGTTACCTCCGCAGACCATTCCTTTCGCATATGCTATTTAATAGGCCATTTTCGAACTGCCTCAAGCCTCTGTTTCAAAGCGAGGCTAAGTGCGAAGCTATCGATGTGAAAATGATTGTTTTATATTATTTCTTTATTTCACGTCCATTGCATGAAAGCTTTTAAAGTTGTCTAACGTATACGAAAAATTGATTGAATATTGCGGGGATGTCAAAGATTTGGATAAATCTGTGCTCTAAGGAAATGCAGATAAGGGCTAAAATTCGGTTCTGTTCTTAACAACACACAAATAACAACTAACAACATTTCTGGTCTATTGTCCCGTAGTAGGCCGCTACGCTTTATTGAAGACCAACTGAGCCTAAAAAGCAGAATTGTGAAGAATACATCACAGCTAGATTACATCAAGGAAAATTAACGGAGTGTTGGATACGATGATCTACGAGAGACACTCGGAGGCCAGGACAAACCCCTACAGTTTCATATTCACAGGTTGGTAAGTCATCGCATCGTGTTTGAATGTCGATAAAGTGCCGGCATAAATTTCACAGTGATTCTGTTAAAACCATAAAGGAATGTTAAATTAAGAACAAATTAAAAAATTCGTGCATGGACTTACCAGTGCTTTTTCCATCAGTAATTACTAACAGGACTTGAGGTACATTTGATCTCATTCCACCGCCAGCAGTAAACAACTCCTTACGACACTTCTGGAGTCCCAGATCAATCCGAGTGCTGCCAGTGTAATATGTGATGTTCAGAATCGACGCCTTTATTACTTTCACGTTTTGTTCAGCTGAAAAAAGAATTTCTGTTTTTGCGCTAGAACTAAAACTGACCACGCCCACGTGAGTACCTGTAAATATAATCAGTGAACAGGTAGAAACTGAGTTTTCTTGACCGTAACCCCTTTTAAAATACTCTCTATGCAAATGCCGTATTAAGGAGAGACTTAGGAATAGAGAACAAACTGATGATCGTAAAGACTTTTCAAGCACAACTTTCTTACCCGCGCTGGACACTTGGAAATATTCAATGAGCTTGATAATAAACGCTTTCACTTGCTCGTAATTAACTGATCCAATACTACCAGAGGCATCCAACAAGAAAGCCAAATCCATTGCAAAAGGACAAACTAAAAGAAATAAAAAATGCATTTATATCCGTAAAGCTAACAAAGTATTTCGCATTATCGAAAGTAAGAAAAGAAAGAAAACTGTAATCTGACGTTTTTCCCCAATTTATCTCAGGCGGCTTTGACACAGGCATTCAGTTCTGCGACTGAAAATGAGTGACGTCATTTTCATTATTTCCTTAGCGCAATTAAAAATTCCAATAAGAAATTAAACTAAACAAGCAAACGCAGGGAGACACTGATCTATGAACAAGTTTTATAAATCTCAGCTTTTCGTGAACCTTATTAAGGTTTAAAGTGTCACTGTACTTATACCACGTTCTGAAATACGTTATTCTTCCTCTCCCCGGCTAGCACAATAATTAACAATTATTATTCATTCAAAATATTTTCCCTATTCTGATTGGCTAAAAGCACTCGTTCAATTCACCATAACCAGTTACTGATGACCAAATTTGGAAGAATTTTGTGCTTAACGAGGAAATGACGTCAAAAATGCAACGTTTTCGCAGGTTAAGGCACCGTTAACCGAAAAGACCTGGGGACGAGGTTGAGTTGTTTTGATTGTGAACTTGAAAAACTTTCAAGAGTAAGAACTAGGCGAAAACATAGCTAAAGACATGGCAAGAACAGCAAGAAGACAACTCGAAGGGCGACATCTGCTACATAGAGAATATTTGCGGGGCTGGACAAACCTAAGCGTGCACTATCGAAGATGAACTTGACATCGATGGATCGATGGAGGTTAGTATGCTTTAGCCATGTTTTTAAAGTAGGAATTATTTTGAATGAATAATAAAACAATTAATGAATTCGGCTTTCGTATCATATGAAGAATTATGGAGATGGAGGAGGGTGTTATCCGCCTCGATCTCCATAATTCTTCATATGATAAGAAAGCCGAATTCAATAATTGTTATAGCCTGCGTAGCAAGCGTTTCCGTGCTGTTTCGGAGCAAAGAAAGACCGAGGAACGAGATTCTCGGTTTTGGCCGCGCGAGAAATGAAACGAGAGCTAAAAAATGAAAGAGGGGGGAGGGGGAGGGGAAGGTTTCCTTCCTTTCTTCCCCACCCCCTCCCCGCTTACTCGCGCCATTTTTCGCGCGGTCCTTGCTCGGAAACAGCACCGAAACGCTTGCTACGCAGGCTATAATTGTTATATTATTCATTCAAAATAATTCCTAGTTTAAAAACATAGCTAAACCATGCTTACCTCCACCGATGTTAAGTTCATCTTCGATAATGCACGTTTACAGGAGCCGGGGACGTTTAGGGTTGTTCAGCTCCCCAAATATTCTCCAAATGGGATGTCGCCCTTCGAATTGTCTTCTTGCTGTTCTTGCCATATTTTTAGCTATTATTTCGTCCAGTTCTTACTTTTGAAACGAGTGAAATGTCCGCCATTTTTGTCTTCACAACCAAAACAACTCAACCTCGTCCCCAGGTCTTCTCGGTTAACGGTGCATTAACCTGCAAGGAAGCTGCACTTTTGACGTCATCAGTTGATTAATCGCAAAATTCTTCCAAATTTGGTCATCAGTAGCTGGTAATGGTGAATTATGCTTGTGTTTTTAGCCAATCAGAATCGGGGAAATATTTTGAATGAATAATAACACGTTTTATCATTCGATGAAAATTTCTCTTCCTTTTCATTGGCTGAGAGCCCACCACCTGACCTGCAAATAACTTCCTCCCAATAATGATCTGATCATGCGCGATGTCGTCCAACTGTGTTTGGCTGCAAGTAATATTTTGCCTCATGAGTAAATGAAACCACGCTTTTCTCTCACACACTCTTGCTTGAAAATGTCGCTGACCTTTCAGAAAGCGATATTCGTTAAAAAACAAACTCGATAACCTAATGATAAAACAGTTATTGAACTCGGTTATCGAAAAATATCATGATTTTTTAGTGTCTCGCAGATCAGTTATTTCGCTCAGCCTTCTCAGTGTTCACCGCTAACAAATCCCGATATTTCGTTCAACCTCGTCCAATAATTGTTAATTGTTATAGTAGGAGTTATATCAGGTCCCTGATAACACGAGATGGCTCTTACCTGCATCAACCGTAGTGACTGGCGATATGAAAAGAAACTGGAGCTGCCAGAGATAAGTTCAATGGGTTAGTTACTTTAAAGCATGCCTCCTATAGGTGTAAAAACTGATTTTGTAGGTATCTTTTCAGAACACCGATCACAAGGAATTTACTCTGAAGCAAATGTTTGAATCCAGGCGTGATCCGCCCACATGTCCAGTCAATTTTCATTGAATTCATTCTAAATTCAGTCCTTCCTTCAGATTTCTGCCTCAGCTATAGTTAGATTTTCATTTCAGTTACAGGATGGTCAGTTAACATCTGTTTTGGTAAAACTGGTTGCTGCCTTTGATGTAATACTTATAAAGAACCCCCATCCATGAAACCCATCTTGACATCATGCTTTTTCCCAAAATACCTCGCAGAGTTAGTGGTGAGCGTCTCCCTCAAAAAAAGAAAATAATAATGAACAAAACGAGCTTTTCTCGCCGGCCTCAGTGCCTAGAGACTTCCGATTTCCTATCTGATTGTACTGATCTCATTCCAAGACCTATGTTAGGCCTACTGATTTAGAATCACTAGACATTTTTTGTCAGTGTAAAAATAAGACAAATTTAAGGAAAAAAGTTGAGCTATACATGAGATATCAATTGGGCTCATTTGATAATATCAGACTTCTTGCCAATTTATTCATGTTATCTTCATTTAGTGATATGGGACTATAATTAGCGATCATAAACTCGATATGCCTTTTTCACCTTTTGTTTTTTTGCTCGATTTTGTCCGGATCGGAAAGGAAGTTTTTCTTGTCATTTCGGCCCTAAGACGCTCAATTGCGTCAAGCACAACCAATGTACTAACCTCCTTATTTTTGTTTCGAAACAACAAATCAATAAATCTTTTTCTTGATGGATTCCCGTCATACGTCATATACTTTATTTTCTTGACTACCAAATTTTCATTCAAAAAACTGAAGCAAGGACTCAGGTGTACCCGGGTTTCCGCTTGTTAATATAAAAGAAAAAGGCGTAAGATCATAACGGTTTGGCACTTATTTTCCTTTTTAACATACAATAATTTTTTCTAGCTAAAACCAAACAGGCGGCGCGTTTCTTACACACCCAAAACTTCTTGCTTGTTTGCTGATTAGCCTTTGCCAGTGGATTATTAAAACTGAACTTCCATGATAACAAGCTTAATGAACTGACCTGAAAGAAGAAAAAGACTTTCGGTTTCATGGTAAATCTTCGGCTTTCGTTTTCTAACGCACAGCGTTCTTCTATCACCTGCAAAGTGCACGAATTAAATCGAATAAACACTTTGGTGCTTTTCTTTGTGTAGCAGGGGTATAGTGTTATTCAGCTGCCTGCAACCATTTAGTAATGTGTGAAATTAAATGGATTTTATGTCAATTTTGTACAAAGATGAATATCAGTTTTACTCAGCATGCCACTTTTCACCGGCGAGATTCACAAGGCTTCTATTTTTGACAAGAACGCAAATTCCGAACATGGATTTTAACCCAGCGCTTTAAACCCTAGGCAAACTTAACATTACAGCGTCGAAATAAGTTATTTGTTTCTTCTCCTTAATGAATTGTGTGACAATAATTAAGAAAAAAAAACAAGGCTGTTTACTTTTTGAAGCTCATTACAACCTCCAAAATGGAAAGCCCCTTTCATCCGCTTAAAAAGTTAAAATGAAGAACGTTTGGATTTAGCTGAGGCTGTGTGTTGTGGGAAAAAATTATAGAAAAGGGAATTAAATAGGAAGTGACATTAAAGTGCGTAATTTTCAATGAGTCGTTAGCTCTACCACCCATTATTATTCGGATCGGTGGGAATTGAGCCAACGTTGGACTAGATCTATCTTCATGTTTTTCACGTGTTAGTTTTTGGGGCGACCAGCGAGTTCTGAATGCTCCAAGCAGCCCTAACCGTAGCAGCTTAATATGAACATTTAGGATTTAGGGGAGGATTTGTCTCCTTATCGGTAGACAAGGTTTTCATTGAGTATGCTCCAGCTAGAAATACCGCTGGTATAAGACCACCTACTGTGACCATGAGATGGGGCATTTTTGAACGCCACTTTTACCTGGTGATAATGATGAATTGACCAGTAAACAGTACTGTCTTATCAGATGTAACCTACGTAGCAGGCGCTTGGAAAATGTGGGCGCAAGAATAAAAGGGCGCGCGAGAGGGAGACACACGAGCTCCCTCTCCCCTCGCGTGTATCCCTCTCGCGCGCCCGTTCATTCTTACGCCCACTTCTTCCACGCGCCTGATATGCAGGCTACATCTGATAAGACAGTACTGTTTACTAGTCAATTCATCGTTATCACCAGGTAAAAAGTGGCGTTGAAAAATGCCCCATCTCATGGTCACAGTATAGTAGGTGGTCAATACCCCTTAGCCTGTGACTTACTGTACCAGGAACCCATGACTATACAAAAAAAGGTGAAAGCCAGCAGAACGGTATTTTTACCATCAAATACTTCACGCAGCTTTCACACACACTAGTTTCCACTGAGCATGACTATGGCATATTCAAAGTAAAAGGTATTACAATTAACATGTAATTGAATCGAAACCGAAAAGGTGGTTGGTTCAAATCACCTCCAAAATTGGCAAATAAACAAGGCCCCAGTTGTTCAAACTGGATAGATCTGTGCCGAAAAAAAAAAAAAGCAATAGTCTATCCAGTGGATAACGCAGTCCAGTGGATAGCACTTGCCTAGGGTTGGGGAAAGGGACAGAAAGAGACAACGGGTTGTTGATCGATTTATAAATTTAAATCCATGGTCAAAAGGAACGGCCAAGATCACAATTGCAATAATCCGGACTGGTTTACATGAGAAATTAAAATTAAGGGCGAATATTCTTCGACCATTCCTTCGCTCGGTTTGCGTGACTCTCTTAAATAGGTATGCGTGACTAAGTATGCGTTCGCGTGAGCTGGCGTGTACGATTGTTTACCTGACGTGC